AATTCTATTTAAAAAATTTTATTTTGTCGCTGTGTATTTCGAAAACAAGAGGAGATAGACATAGTTCATAAGACAAAAATTCTTATTTTTTGACGTACTATCACACCCTGTATAATAAAACGGTAAACAAATTTCGGAGAAAAAGATGAATTCCCGTTTCGAAAAAAAAAAACAAAAAATTCTTAATCTCTCGACAGTAATGAACCTATTTTCCACCTGGGTATGTGATACAGTCGTAAATTATACAAAGTTCCCTATCCTTTCAACTGAATTAAACACCCCACGTTAAAATAATGATATTTATTTACCCCGCTAATCCCTCTTGTACACCAAGAACTGTTCATCCGAACATCGACTACGTTATTTATTACGAGTCATCTAAATTATCGCACAATTAAAATGCACAAACAACCGATAAATCTCCTCGGCAAATCCGGGATGGCCGTGGAGCGGGCACAGCACGCGAAAGGGAATGACAAATAAGTGTCCCCGCCACATATTCAAATTCTACAAATGCGTTAAGCCCGGCAAAGTAGTTTAGAGTATTACCAAGTAGTACGGTCCACCGGCATAAATCAGATGAAAGTTTCCACAACTATCGACAAACTGTCGCCGAATGGGGAATGCCTGTTTTCACTAGCCTACTACTAGTTTGGTCTGTGTTTAGTTCGCGCCGCAGTGGAGTGTAAAATCAGAAGCGGGATATGCCCTAAAATGACGCTTAAATGCATTTATTTTTATTAAAAATTACAGATTAGTGAAATGTTATAAAAAGCTTTATTTCTTTTAATTTAACTTAACACTGGCCCACTACTGGTTTGGTATGTATTTACTTCGCGCGGCTGTGAAGTGAGAAATCAGAAGCGGGATATGCCCTAAACTGATACTTAAATGCATTTATTTTCATTAAAAATACCAGATTAGTGAAATCTTATAAAATGCTTTATTTCTTTTAATTTAACCTAGCACTGGCCCACTACTAGTTTTGGTCTGTGTTTAGTTGGCGCGGCTGTGGAGTGAGAAATCAGAAGCGGGATATGCCCTAAAAAGACACTTAAATGTATTTATTTTTATTAAAAATATCAGATCAGTGAAACCTTATAAAAGGCTTTATTTCTTTTAATTCAACCTAGCAGTTCACTTCAATAGCAAAACAAATGCGAGAACTTAACGCGAGAATAGTTGTTGTTAATTTTATGTTGCGAAGTATTGAAAATTTCAAAAATTTCGATGACGTTATTGTAGTTATACAATTCCTGATTCTAAAAATGGTATGTCACGTACGTTTACAATTACTTCTCGTCTGGGTTCTGTTTCTCACCTAGAAATTCTCAAGAAATATATCAGATTAGATTGGAAATTAAAACTGAAATTTCACGCTTTTTTTATACGCCATCAAGCAGGTAGATGTTACAACCAACCAGTCGGCAAGAATACCCTTTCTATGATTCTTAATAAGGTTGCACAGTTTTCCAAACTAGAACATCCTGAAACTTATACAGGACATTCATTCCGAAGAACATCGGCAACTTTATTGGCTAATACAGGAGTTGTCGTATTAGCAATCAAGAGACATGGTGGGTGGAATTAGCCACAATTGCAGAAAGTTATGTTGCTGACAGTTGAAGTAACAAACATGAAATAGCCAACAGGGTTCTTTAAAGTGACACTTCAACTCCAGGTTCTAGTAGTACATCGCATCATACTGTTTTAATGGATCAGTCAGATAATATTGAGCGTCCGGTGACTGAAATGGAGCGGTTAAATCATTTTGAGAAAAATATAACACAATTAGTAAACGCGAGGGGGATACCAGATATCCAGATTTTATAGATGTTACTAAATGTAATAACTGCATGTATAATAATTAATAAAATGTAATGTTCATCAAATATATCTATTTATTTGTTCACAAAATGTGCATTTATAACTCGAAATCGCTTGTTTCCCTAGGGAGGTAAGTTACCTCACTTACCTCCCATTGTTCGTAGCAACTTCCACTTCTACGGTAAAATCCACTTACCTCCTTAAAAACAATGTATTAATAGTTTATTTACTATAATGAGAGCAGATAAAATTAATTTGACGTTTATAGTAAAAATACACATCTCTAATACTTTGCCCGACTTGTTTAATACTTATCCACTAGGCAGATCGCAATTTGTAGAGTATGGGGGCTAAGTCAGAAATGTATATTACCTAATCAGAAGTACCACAAGGATGGAATTTAGGCCCTCTTTTAATAAAATATACCGTCTCAAAAAAAATTATCTGCAGATGATTTGATAATATTTAGTAGAAGCTATTATATCAGTAAATTACTTTTACCAGCAACATTAATAATGTAGTATGTTCGGCTTCCAAAACTGTAACATTTTTTATTAGAAAGATGAGTGATATTTCGAATGTGTCTTGGATTAAATTTTGTGTCGCCAGGAGTAAATTAGAATATGGATCTACTGTCTTGTACCCATTGTTCTTCCTATCCAAATATTTATCTAAATTTTATATGTCAAATAGAGTCGGTGCAACAAAAGTTTTAAAGTTTATTGGTGTGCATATATCCCAAAAGATGCATAAACAATATATTGCTACTTCATACTTTTCACTTGCACTCATTGTTGCTTCCAAGAAACTGTTTCCTTTATTTATAGTGTAATAAACTATAAAATCGACTGTCCTATTCTATTGGAAAAATTGAATTTGGTTTCAAAAAGATATAAATTAGTATCACTGTAAACCAAGTGTTATAGAAAAACATCTCTTAACCAATAGTTTTTCTTAATTATTTTTTCTATTTTTCCCCTGTATATGTCAATCCAATTTCCATACATTTTGTACAGTGTTTTTTTATTTCCTGAATACATAGAATGTATCTGGGCTTAGTTAAATGTCGAAAATCGCATTCTTATTTCTTAATTTCTATTAAGATATACAGGGTGTTTTGCAAAAAGGTTCCGCAAATTTAAGGACTGATCAAAAAATTAAAAAATATTTTCCCATAAACCATGGGCGTATCGTCTTTTATACAGGGTGTATATGAAAATGTAAAAAAAATAAAGTTTAACTTATCTTTTTCAAAAAAACAGCAAGTATTGACCTTGCGCAGTAGCGTTTTAAGGCTTAACTTTTTGAGGTTAGGTTTTTTCGAGATGTGTGATATGTTATAATGTACAATTTAATTTTATATAAACATAGTACTCTCGTCAAAATAGATACTTGAAAACGCACTGTTCTTGAGGCAAAACGCTGTCGACTTCCAAAGTCAACAAGCTTCTATTCCTTAATACAGGGTGTCTCATAATTAGCTGCCAACCCTAAACAGGCCGATTCTATGATCAAAACTAAGTAAAAAAGTTCATATGAACATGGGTCCAGAAATGCTTCCTAAGGGCCAGGGACCCATTGAAGAGGGAGGAAGGGAAATCATTTTTTTGCAATATCTCTCAATCGCGTTGTGATAAATGAATGAAATTTGGTATACACAGCTAAATTTTGATGAGCAATTTGATGGACTAATCCATTTATTTCCACAAGGTCCATTGGGGTGGGTACGGGGGGGCCCTTGGTACTTTGCGTGTGTACCTTTTTCATCTTTGACTTTTTAACAAATTGGACAGCAAATTTCGTTTTCCCAAACTGTTTTACGTTAAAAATGTTCTCTTGTTGCAAATAGTTATCTTTAACAGTTTCTGAGAAAATCGCTCTTGAATTAATCCCACTTTGGTCAATTTCATAGTAATTTAAACAAAAAAAAATTTTTTGTTTAAATTAATATGAAATTGACCAAAGTGGGATTAATTCAAGAGCGATTTTCTCAGAAACCGTTAAAAATAACGATTTGAAACAAGAGTACCTTTTTAACGTAAAACAGTTCGGGAAAACGGAATTTGCTGTCCAATTTGTTAAAAAGTCAAAGATGAAAAAGTTACACACGCAAAGTACCAAGGGCCCCCCCGTACCCACCCCAATGGACCTTGTGGAAATAAATGGATTAGTCCATCAAATTGCTCATCAAAATTTAGCTGTGTATACCAAATTTAATTCATTTATCACAACGCGATTGAGAGATATTGTAAAAAAATGATTTCCATTCCTCCCTCTTTAATGGGTCCCTGTGCCCTTAGGAAGCATTTCCGGACCCATGTTCATATGAACTTTTTTACTTAGTTTTGGTCATAGAATCGGCCTGTTCAGGGTGGGCAGCTAATTATGAGACACCCTGTATACAGGGTGTCCGAAAACAAATGAGTCATACTTCAAGGATAGCTTCCGTGGATAAAAATAAATAAATAAATTCTTTGAATATTTATCTACATTTGAAATGTTTTTTTATTCGATTTTGACTAACATAACTTTCTAAGAGAACAAATTTGAATTTTTATCAAAATCGGTTTATTTCCATTAAAGTATCCACTCTTAAAGTAGGATCTATTCGTTTTCGGAACACTCTGTATATGTATACGGAGTAGGACTTTGGGCCAGTCAACTGCGTTTTTCTCAAAAATGGTGTGATTTCAACAAGCGGACCTTCTTTAGGTAAAAGAAAATTTTACATTATAATATGCAAATATATCTTAAAAAACTAACCTCAAAAATACATACAGTCTCTTTTGTTAGCGTTGTAGTCCGCGAATTTTAGCGGAAGGTCAAAAACTAACAACACTAAAATATTGAGTACCTTAAAAATTGATCTGTAACAATTTCAGCGTATTACCATGTTTTCTAAAAAAGCTATGGATAAAATTAGATTAAGAAAGAATCGTATTTGACACCCTGTATTTTAAAAACAGAAGAGGCGTTTAGTCTATAGGAAGAAATTGTTTTTTTTTGTTCTATCAGCCTGTGGATTTATGGTACCTTTTTCCAAAACATCCTGTTAAAAAATTACATAAAATTCAATTTCCAAAGTTGCACCAGTATATCTGTTTATCAAAAATATCTAAAAACGGAACAAAACATTATTTTTACACTTATCAGTCGAAAATAAATAATTCTACTTACCAAACTGTAACAGTGAGTGACGCCTGCGCCCTCCTGGCGCAGCAGTTGTCGTTGCACGCCGCTGCCTCGCCCGACCCGATGCTCGCCCTCGGGGGCGGCGTCGCGCACACGTGCCTCCCGCCCGACGCGCCCACGTACTCGACCGACGGGCTCGCGCAGATGCTGTGCCGACACTGGCCGCCCTTAGCGCCGCGCAGGTTGGGCGACACGAACCCTACACCCTCCTTGGCCTGCTGGCATTGCACGTTCCCGCATTGGGTCCCCTTCTCCTGGTGGTGCTGGTACCCGCACTGGTACTCCTTCCCCTGGAAGTTTTGGCACTGGATTTCTTGGACGCACGACACCTCCTTCTGGTGGAGGTCCTTCCCCTGGCTGGTCACCGAGCTGCTGGAACTGGAGCCCGGGCTGGATTTGGAGACCTGGTACCCTTCCTGGTACTGACAGCACTTGACCCTACCGGGCGCGCCCATGTGAGAGTACCGCACTCGTTGGTACTGGTTGGCGGTATAGGGTAGGGGCAGGCGGTAGTGGAAAGCGAGGTCCCGCCTCATGTACGGGTCACTGGAGTTGAACTGCTTGAAGCCGTAGGGTTGGTACGAGCCGTAGTAGGGTTCCTGGGGCTGCGGGACGTACCTCTCCACCGGCATATGCGCGTTGGGTGGCAAGTACCTCTCCCCGTTGTTGTATCTGTTGTCGTTATTTACATATTTGTCTGAGTGGTAGTTCTGGTGAGCGTTGGAACTCTGCTGGTACTTGTCGGCGTAGCTCTGGAACCTATCCTTAAACCTAGACTCGTGGTGGTACCTATCGTTGGAGGTGTTGGGTGAAGTCGTCGCGTAACTCTGATATCTCTTGTCGTACCTTTCTGGTTTCTTCGGTGAGTGGCCGTAGGTTTCGGTCGGCGACGGGGATAGAGGCGGGGGTGGTATGAAGCGTTCTGGGAGGGGTAGTGTAGCGGTGGGAGAAGGGAAGGTGTTGTTGGTGAAACAGTCGGGACTGGGCGTGTTCTCGGGGGACAGAGGTGGAGGTGGTATAAACCTGTCCCCCGCCGGAGCGGGAGAAGGCGGTTCCAAGTACGGTACTTGAGAGAAGGGTATCCTCTCCGGCCGCTCGGGTCTCTCCTGCGACGCGAACCTCTCCGGGCACGGAATCGCCGGGAAGCGATCGTGGTTGTACCGCTCGTTGACGTACTGATCAAGCCGGTTCTGGTACTGCTCCCTCTGGTGCCTCTCTCTATCCTTCCGGTCCGAGCTGGCCGATCTGTCTCTGATTTTGTAGATCTCGGATTTGGAGCCGCTCCTGTGCCGCTCCGTGGGCGTATAGCGGTCGATGGAGCACACGCTCTGCGCCGAAGCGTGCCTGTCGCCGGCGGTACCGCCGAAACCGTCCATAGCGCCCGAGTTGTATTTGTCGATAGGCGTGTACCTGTCGCCGTTGGTGGAGCATCTCTCCTTGTCCGTTGATAGGGTGTGGTACCGGTCGGTGGGGGTGGTTGTCCTGGAATACCGGTCCAGAGTGGCGTGGCCGTGGTACCGGTCGAGGCTGCCCAGGTTTTGGACCGGCGTGTACCTTTCGGGGAACCTTTGGCAAGTCGTTCTCTCGTAATTGTACCTGAAACAGAAATGTTTATATCACGTATGCGTATTGCCAGAAACCATGTTTACGAAGTGTAACAGCTGATTTTTCTAGTCAAAATACAAAAAAAATTAGTAGTAACGATTTTTTTCTGAAAGCTTTACGATCTCTGAAGAACCGTTCATTTAATTTAGTACCGTTTTTTCATAGTGGCCTCCATAACTACAAAACACGCCGCCAACGTCTTTCTACTTGGAGCTAGTACCATGTTAACATCGACATAATTTTAAAAATGTTGTCACCGCTGTTCTTGGGGGTGAAAATTCGAAATATTTAGAATTATTCAAATTTCGTGGCTGAAAACGTACATAGGTATTGTATTTTTGAAACCGAGTGAGTTGCGCGAAAGTAAATCTGTCCAGGATGTAGCTAGTACCATGCGAAACATCGCCATTTTTTTGAAAATGTTGTCACTGCCGTTCTTGGGGGTGAAAATTCGAAAAATTTAGAATTATTCAAATTTCGTGGCTGAAAACGTACATAGGTATTGTATTTTTGAAACCGAGTGAGTTGCGCGAAACTAAATGTGTACAGGACATAGCTAGTACCATGCGAAACATCGCCATAATTTTAAAAATGTTGTCACCGCCGTTCTTGGGGGTGAAAATTCGAAAAATTTAGAATTATTCAAATTTCGTGGCTGAAAACGTACATAGGTATTGTATTTTTGAAACCGAGTGAGTTGCGCGAAACTAAATGTGTACAGGACATAGCTAGTACCATGCGAAACATCGCCATAATTTTAAAAATGTTGTCACCGCCGTTCTTGGGGGTGAAAATTCGAAATATTTAGAATTATTCAAATTTCGTGGCTGAAAACGTACATAGGTATTGTATTTTTGAAACCGAGTGAGTTGCGCGAAACTAAATGTGTACAGGACATAGCTAGTACCATGCGAAACATCGCCATAATTTTAAAAATGTTGTCACCGCCGTTCTTGGGGGTGAAAATTCGAAATATTTAGAATTATTCAAATTTCGTGACTGAAAACGTACATAGGTATTGTATTTTTGAAACCGAGTGAGTTGCGCGAAACTAAATCTGTACAGGACATAGCTAGTACCATGCGAAACATCGCCATAATTTTGAAAATGTTGTCACCGCCGTTCTTTGGGGTGAAAATTCGAAATATTTAGAATTATTCAAATTTCGTGGCTGAAAACGTACAAAGGTATTGTATTTTTGAATCGCAGTGAGTTGCGCGAAACTAAATCTGTACAGGACATAGCTAGACAGGGGTCGGCAACCTTTTAAGCCGGAAGAGCCATCTGCAATATAAATATCAATTTCATGAATTTCAAAGAGCCATGAATTTTTATTTCTGCTTTTACATTTTATTTCAAATTTAAATCGGATATGGAAGTTTATACGGGTCTTTATGTGTACTCGTGTGCTGCTTGTCTGTCCGCTTCAACTTTTAATTTTTAGAGGAACTTGAAGAGCCGCAATTGTCTCTTGAAAGAGCCGCATGCGGCTCGCGGGTCGCGGTTTGCCGACCCCTGTACTAGGGTGTCGAATGCGGTTAATTCCAAAAAACTGACGCAGGGGTCTTCTGGGAATTGTATCGCAACAAATATCGTACGGACTGTACTTTTGAGCTTTTATTTAAATCTTCCCTCGTTATTTGATAAGATATTTTTTATGATAAGACGTGAATCGCCCAGTACGAGCGTTAAAAAGGAACGAAACGATAATAACTTGCAAATTTAACTTTGAATTTCCGTTCCTGCACAAAACTTTTTCATAAGTTCCAAGCCAGCCAACCGCAAAAGTCCTCCTCTTTCGGATACTTAAATCACGATGAAAAGCCCCGAACACCGCGAGACGCCTATCTGTCACCTAAATTATATTATACTTTGGAACTTATCCAAATACATTTATCGCTCTCGGGGCGAGCCGATCCGAACAAAAACAATTAATGGCCGCATCTACTTAGAGCGCCTCAATTAAATCCAACAGATTCTGGGACCGTGGGTTTTTTGCTCTTTGGTCGGTTGTATCTCTATCCCTCAGGGGACGTACCGGAAAACAACGTACTAATTAGGAGGCAGAGGAAAACCGCTGATGCGTCCACCTTTTTACGCTTGTCCTCGGGACAAAAATTTGCTCTGCGCGGTGTAAAAAGTGCAGACGACGAGTTTTCAACACCTGACATATGCAATAATTTTAGAAATAGAAAGTCTATCTCGCAATAGACCTTTTTAGTAGTGATGTCACAGACGCCAAATAATAGGCAACTCGATAGTGCACAATGTCATGAAGAATTTCTCAGTTTTCTTACTAGATCGATTTTCGACCTTATGTACTTTGGACATCTAGGTCACCAGATCTTAACCCCCTTGACTTCTTCCTGTGGGGTTACCTAAAATAATTAATGTATTCAACTCCGGTTTATACAAGAGAAGAGTTGATGACAAGAATTGAACATCATTATAATGAAATTAAACAGAATCCACAAATAATGCTATTTAGAGTGCAACAAAATAATCTTAAAAGAATAATAGTCCAGACGGTATCTGTTTCAAAAAGCCATATTTGGGTGAATCGTATATCCACGGAGATTTTTGGCTTTTTGGCTTTCAAATATCGCTAGAAATGAAAATTTTTCTATGCTCATAAAAAAAACGTGGGCTTAACTTTTGACGGCACGATATGTTAAAAAAATTGGAAAAATGTCATATTTTTCTTCCTACTTAATTATGTATCTTTTTAAAAGTTGATTTTAGGCGAAAATGGAAGAGGAAAAAAATGTTTGTAATTAAATTTTTTACAATACATAACTGGTTACAAATCGAATGAATCATGATTATTATGGTAAAAATCGAAAAAATCACAAAAATGGGGTTAAAAACAGTACTTTTTAGGGAATTTTTTTGGTGTATTTAAATTGGGTGTAGGACCTTTATACTTGGCTCAAGAAAACTTCATGTTATGTAGAATCATCACACCAAATTTCATCAAAATCGGTTCGATAGATTTTGCATAATAATTTTGCAATCCAGATTTTGAAAAAAAATTTGCAAATTTTCAAAATTTTGCACAGCAAAAACCAAGGCC